TACATTAATTCACATGTAGATCTTTTCTCATTAACACATTTCAAGAGTCATATGAAAAAACATTTTAATTTTTTTTTTTTTTTTGCTTAATAGTGACCCTTTAGTCCTAACCATCACTGACATCTTTAAAGTCTAAAATGTCATTGATAGCATTCTCCCCCTCCAAATTCCTTGAGTAGTGGGCTATCATAGAATAAATGAGATATATGGATTTCTAGAAGACCTTAAGATCCACTATGACTCTACAAAGAGTATCTAGGTCAAAACCTACTTAGTTGCTGTTTACTCCATCTCATAGGTTTACTTCACTATCTACAAGATGAAACTCTGGATCATCTTTTTGAAAGCACTGGGTTGAGAAGGTGACAGCATGTGCGTTTAGATATTAGCATCCTAGCTCCTTTTTGACCTACCATGCTTTCTTTTCTAGCTTGTGGTTTATCAAATTATAAGAAGACCAGATATCTCAAGTTCTTATCAGCTTGAATATTTTACAATTAGTTTTGGTATAATTAGACAGAAGGTGAATGTAAAGAGTTATAACAACAGCAGTTGATTCTCTGGAGATGAGAAGATTCCTACCATACAATGCCTTGCTGTCTGTGTTTCCTTCCAGGATGATGGTTTTGTAACATCACTCCCAGCTAATCTATCACCTTCTTGTAATCATCTCTTCAGCCCTAAAATCTGCTTTTTAAATCAGAGCTTTCTGTATTTTTTTAAAAAGGCATTTTTGAAAGTATATAAAGGCCGGGCGGTGGTGGCGCACGCCTTTAATCCCAGCACTCGGGAGGCAGAGGCAGGCGGATTTCTGAGTTCGAGGCCAGCCTGGTCTACAGAGTGAGTTCCAGGACAGCCCGGGCTATACAGAGAAACCCTGTCTCGAAAAACCAAAAAAAAAAAAAAAAAAAAAAAAAAAGAAAGTATATAAAGACTTTTTCTTTTGAAATAAGGAATGTGTCCTGGTAACAACCAATTTCTAAATTTCTAAAGTAGAAATCATACCTTACTATTGTAGAATACGTGATCCAAATAAAAGTGGACAATTAAAAGCTACCAGCCTGGGCTGGAGAGATGGCTCAGGGGTTAAGAGCACTGACTGCACTTCCAGAGGTCCTGAGTTCAAATCCCAGCAACCACATGGTGGCTCACAACCATCTGTAATGAGATCTGATGCCCTCTTCTGGTGTGTCTGAAGACAGCTACAGTGTATTCATATATAATAAATAAATAAATCTTTAAAAAAAAAAAAAAAAAAAAAGCTACCAGCCTGTAAGCCACTTGGAAGGCCTCTAATTAAAGGCAAATCTGGGCTCATCTGAGTTACAGATCAGTATGGAATACATAAAACAAATATATCCAATAGGATATAACAGAAAGTAAAATGTATAGTTCTAAAATAAGCCTTGGGTAAAGAAGTTCAAAGGTAAGATTTTGGTAATACACAGACAATTGAAACAATGAATACCTTGTGGAAACTCAAGAGGATATATACAACAAAAATTGGAATATTTTATGATCAAATATTTCTATTAGTAATGCTAGAAACTAAATTAAAAAGTATTTAATTTATAAAGCCCAGGGAAGATGAAGGGGAAGGGATTATGGGATTTAGTAAATAAACAATAAAAAAATATGGCAAAATAAAGTTAACAGTGATTTGAAACTAGAAAATACACAAACATTGGCATAGCTGGTCAGATGTGTTAATATATGAAATCATTAGCTTTGTAATATATAAGAACCAATTAGGACTTTTTTTTTTTAAAGATCATATTTAACAGCAGCAAAACATGAAACAAATTCCCTATGAATGGCCATAATAGATAAAAATTTAGTGCCACTGTAAAAAACAAGTTCAATAATCACCTTATAGAACATTTGTTTTGACTGAACACCAACAAGGTAGGGCTGGAGAGATGACTCATCCCCTACAGTAACAGCTATCCAACACCTTAATCCCCAGCACTCACAGACAGAAAAGCTGGGGGCTGTGGCACATACCCATAATCCCAGCAACTGGAAATATGGAGACAGGAAGATACCTGGGGCTCATTAGCCAGACTGCCTAGCTGAGCTAGACCATCTCCGAAAGTAAGCAAGAGAGACCGAAGAACCCAATGTTAACCCCTGGCTCCACATGCATACCCATACAAGAACATGCAAAACACAATGAAGAACATTCTGAAGTCTGAAGGCACAGGTAGGTTCAGTACCCACACATATCAAAGTTTAGCTAATGCTTAACTTAAGAACTTGAGACAAGGTGTTCTGCTTTGTGAGTCATTCTTGCCACTTTCAGATTTCAGTTCTTTGCAGATTAAGACCATTTCCTGCTGTCTATTGGGCAGGGACTGCTCTTAGCTCTTTACCCTTGGGTTCCAGAATCCCTTCCATCTACAGTAAGGGAAAGTCTCACATCTACTTCTCTCAATTCATACATTTGACTGTAAAAGGCTACTGTGATTAGGTTATATCTGCTTAGGTCTTTATGCAATATAACAACTGTGCAAGAAAAAATCTCCACTCACGAGGATGAGGATGGGAAGTCCTAGGGATCACCACTTCAAACAAGCAAATTCTTTTAAAATTCAAGAGTATCGTTTGAGGCAAAATAAAAATGTGAACATTAGTTATTCTGCTAATTTATAATATTTTTTCATTAATAGATAAATTTGACATGTTTTCTGGGTGTTTATGGAAGTCTAGAATTACTAATTATAAATTCAACACCTAAAATATGAAAGTGTATTGAACATTTTCTAGGCATGTTACATTGAATCCTGACAACTTACATATTCATTTAAATACCACTGTCCAAAGTAAGGTAATGGAGCCTCATCTACAATCTTATTTAAGCATTGAGAAAAAAATAAATTGGAAACAGGCTAAAATTAATATTTTACTTAAATCACCATAGCAAAAATGTTAAGCAAAAAAAGTTAAATTGTCTATTTCCCCTTCTCAATGAGATTCAAGTGTCTCCACCTTGGGCCCTCCATACTACTTAACTTCTTTAGGTCTGTGGTTTATAGCAGTTATAGTGGCTTATAGTACTTTATGACTAACATAACTTCAAAGTTATACTTATGAGTACATACCATGTTTGTCTTTCAGGGTTTAGGTTATATCACTCAAGATGGTCTTTTGTAGTTCTATTTGCCAGCAAATTTCATGATGTCATTGTTTTTAATAGCTGAGTACTATTCCATTGTGTAAATAAACGGTATATTCTTTATGCATTCTTCAGTTGGATACGGGTTGTTTCCAGTTTGTGGCTATTATGAATAAAGCGGCTATGAACAGTTGAGCAAATGTCTTTGTGGTTTGGTAGAAGTTCTTTGGGCATATGCCCTGGAGATATGGCTTGAGATAGATCTATTCCTAGTTTTCTGAGAAACCACCAAATTTACTTCAAGTTTGTACAAGTTTAGACTCCCACCAGCAATGGAGTGTTGTTCCCCTTGCTCCACATCCTCGTCAGCATGAGCTGTTGCTTGAGTTTTTAATCTTAGCCATTTTGATGGGTATATAATGGAATTTCAGAGTTGTTTTGATTTACAACTCCCTGATGACTAAGGATGTTGAACATTTCTTTCAGTGCTTCTTCACCATTAGAGATTCCTGCCAAGAATTCTGTTCAGATCTGTACCCCGTTTTTTAATACACATCAAAGGTGGATGGAGGGAGGAGAATGGGTGGGTATAGGAACAGGAAGGATGAGGTAAGAGGAGGGAAGGACAACTGTATTGGAGTATTCTTTGTATATCTTTTTGTACATCTTTAATTTAAAATGTTCATGTTTTATACTGACAGACAACACATGTAAATTTGGAATAGTCACAGTTCAAGAAGAGACCTGAAAGCCACCTAAAAATTTCAAGTATCTTGAGCAAAAATGCTGATTTGTACCATTCCTGTCGGTTATATCTACCTGTACATATTAAATTGCTGCCTTGCCTTATGCTCTCTATACCAAGAAACATGGTTGCCAAAATTTACTCCTTATCAAACACTAAACTGACGCTCACACTATGTCTGTCAGTCAGTGACAACACCAATGACTGACATGGAAAGGTCAACCCTACCCCTGTATATTTCCAGATACTAACTAAAGAGTGGTCAATGCTTTCTTCATGGTATTTACAATTATTGTTTTATTTCCTCACTTAGGCTGTGTGTACACAAGTGTTTCTCCTATGTTGCTTCATGGAGGAAGGAACTATACTATCTAGATTGACTTTATATCCTTTGGCCTCAATAAAATACATTACAGATACTAAGTGCCTGTAAATGCCTGGCCTTGGATTGATTATGAGCCTCAGCCAGCTTATCCTCATTACCACCTTCTGGTTAGGCATAACACATCCCACATTTGTATCAATAAAAACAATAATGACTGTGGAAGCTCCTCCTCAAAGCAAGTCTAGTAGACCACCCCTAATCATTAAAAACTTACTGGAGATTTTCAACTAGCAAGAACCACATTTATCCCATCTTTGTCTTGCTCATGATCTATATATCATGAAATAAATACCATAGAAACACAGAGTAAAATTAACAGCCCTTCCCATTACAGTCTCAGAATGCAAGAACACATGCACACACACCCTCCCCATTACAGTCTCAGAATGCAGGAACACATGCACACACACCCTCCCCATTACAGTCTCAGAATGCAAGAACACATGCACACACTCCCTCTGGGAGGAACAATGAGACTGCTGCCCACCATGCACTCAACGCTGACAGCCACAGAGGATGTAAAAGTTCTAGAGCATCTTCTTTAGCTATAAATTCTAAATAAAATAGAAATACTGTTGAAGAAAAATTTAAACCTATTTAAATGTATTGAGCTTTTAAAAAAATGTTCTGGATAAAGGCAAAATTTATTATCAGAAAAAAAAAACTGAAAGTATTATAAAGTTCTTTGGCAAATGTTGAGAATGTAAAATTTTATGTAGAACATTAACAATAGGAGTCAAGAGTGAAAGCACTTGTTAATATTTTCCACGGAACTGTAATAAAATAATACTTTAATAATACTGGTATTATCCAACATTTATAGTCAGTTGTATGATTTTAGTACAAAACCCAATTACTAATCAAGTACTTGCTTATGAACTTCCCGTAAGTATTTCCTACCATTCAAAACATCTATTCATCTCTGTATCTGAGTATGTGAACAATAGAAAAGACAATTACTGTCACTTCTTAGGTGACTCAAAGTGAGCCTCTTCACTGTGTTTTCTTTTCTTTTTTTTCTTCTTATGGTCACTTTGGTAGCCACTGGAGTCACTGGCTTGGAAAATGGGGTCCTGATCTTCCTGGTGCCTTTTCTTCTTCTTTTTCTTCTTCTTTGGCTCTTCCTCACAGAAGTCATTCACATTATCACTACACGGTAGGTCTGTTTCTTCCTTTGGAGTGACATCTGTAATATCTGCAACCTCTGTAACACCATCGACTGTTGCACATGATTCTGTGTCTTTGTTTTTCTTCTTTTTTTTCTTTGAAATTTTCTCAACAACCTCTTCAATGACAGTTTCTGCTACATCTTCAGAAACTACAGAGCTCTTAAGTTGCAAACTGTAAATGAACAGATTTTTAAAATATTAACAGCAATAAGCAAAAAGAAGGGAAAAAATGAGCCAAGACTGTTTCAATAGACTCTTTTCAAAAAATACAATTCTTTGCACAAGTTAGTTTATTCTGGCTCTAATTCCAAATGTTCTATCTTGTTATGACTCAGACCACTGAAATGTCTGACTTGTTGATGTTGAGTTCAATGGCAGATTTATCCAGCTACTTTTTGATCTTCATTTTTGTCTCCCTGTGGCAGGCTAGGCTTCCAACTCAGGATCCTCCTGCCCATGCCTTCAGAATGCTGGGATTATTGGCACAGGCTACTGTATATAGCTGGCCCAAATTTAACAATGAAATGTTAGTTTCTTGTTTTGCTTTCACTGTACTTCCACAGAAGCTCAAGCACAGCTTCAAACTTTGGAATTGGTTAAGAAATGTTTAACTATCAAACATTAAATCCACACTAACTAGCCAAACCATGGACATTTGAAAACAGAAAACATACTTACTTCTGGTATCTATCAGAGCAACAAGATCTCCTACCTACCGTTTCAATCATTAGACACTAACCTTGTGGTGTTTAGCTTTCCTCTAATGCAGAATACTCCGGCAGAATCTGAATCTAAGCGAAATACGTCAAATTCCAGCTCATCTCCTACGTTTATCTCCAACGTCTGCCACTCCTCATATGACATCTGCTCAGGTTTAGGGATGGAGGCATTAAAACATCCATGGACTAAACAGCCAATATGGCTAGAAGATACTTTATTAACTGTACCCTGTAAAGAAGAGAAGAGAAAGACATCACACAAAGAGAGCCAGAGTTAAAAGGTGAGTCAAACTTTATAAACATGAAATTCATCTTCAAAAGAGAAAAATCACATTAATGCCATGTTTTAAAAGGCTTTACCAAAAAAAAAAAAAAACAAACAAACAATTTACCATATCATACCAAAACATAATTTTAGAAAACCTAGAAACTTAAAGTTATTAAATAATTGCATGTCTGTTTTAAGAGGATAACAAGTAAACCAGTCCTTCCTTAAACAAACAAAGGTGTGAGGGCGGGGAGGGGTTAACACTAAAGCCTTGGCTCTACTGCAGAACTGCCCAGGGAGTAGATGACTCTCTGCAAGTTGTACATTGGCTTCCAAGTGCATGCTGTGGTACTTGCACACTGTAGAATGTGCAAGTATACACAACAAACAAGTGTAATTAAAAATAAGTACCTAACATCTTAGAAAAGGCAAAACTAGGATAGCAAAAGGATCAATGGTTATCAAGAACTAATGTGAAGAATGAGGACCAGGAGGTAGTATATAGGGAAATTCAAGGGCAGCCAAAGTATTCTGCATGATGCTAAATATATTTAGCACAATGTATTTGTGAAAACCTAGAATGTACATGAAGACTGAACTCTAACATAAGCTTTGAACTATATGCAAGGCAGAGCAGGATGGCAAGTGAGTGAGATTCTCTGGCAATCTCTCCCTACACAGAGTCATTCATAAACCAGACTACCAGAATGAGACTCAACAAGTCAGCGAAGAGAGTATTACATATACTTACTTTAAACCTTCTGCTAGGTCTGCCATAGTGAAGCTCAATGCTGACCAAAGTCCCACAAACCCCTTCTGTCAGACTAGTAGTACGCACAGCAGTGAATTGCTGAAACTGTGCCAGATAGGTAGCAAAGAGAAAGTTTCACTACTAACTACTTTTCCAACTTGAACAAAAGGAGGAGCAAAACATGAAAGCTAGCACAGGGCTATCTCAGATCCAGTGATAGGTCTGTTGTAATAAAACAAATACCCAGTGTTTCAGAACATCACAGAGCAAGTCTACCGACACCAGGCAGCAACAGAAGACCTACACACCGGTACACAGACCTTAGTTTCAGCTACTTCAGTTGGTATTGGCCCCATTCTCCTCCCGTAACTGTGCAAATGCCTGCAGCTGTCAGAGTTAGGTGCAAGATCCCGCTTACCACCAGCTGTGAGGTCCCGTGGACTGTCTCTCTACCACTTGCCTCTTAATGTAAAGTGGCACAGCTACTGCCAGGGCAGTGCTTATAGACGAATCTTTAGAACACATTTTGACACTTAGCAGAGAATTGTGGCCCTCTGTGAGACTTGTGTTTTGTTGATCTGCATTATCTCTGGCTACAATGCACTGAAATTGTGCAGATCCTTGTGGTTCTGAGGTTCAGGTATGACCCATCTTAGTATCAGTGGTGAAGAACTGTCTTCACCAACACTGTCCTAAATGAGGCCTGCACCACACGAGGGATGGCATCTGTATTATAAACCTGGTCAAAAGCCATGACTGGGAAGTTATAGGCCCTAGGAAGAAGCTTACATCCATGTCAGAGTCTTAGAAACAACAAATCAAATCCAAAATTACATGGAAAATGATAGAACTGGTTCTTGGAAGGGTAAACAAAATTGATAAAACTGTAACTGGGAATGGAGTGTAGACACAAATAAAATTACCAACAAAATTGCATTCCAACTGATACTACAGCAATTAAAAGACTGTTAGAGATTATTTCTTTTAAAAAAAAAAAGTGTGTGTTAATTTTGGAAACTCTAAAATAAATGAACAAAGGCCTGGATGTGGGACTGCGTATCTTGGTTCATGGCTGGGCATGGGCCTGGAACCCCGAGGGAGAAGCGGCAGGTGTTCGACGTCCCCAGAACCCAGGGTCCTGACATGTAGTCTAGTCTCCATGGACCTACATTGTTCAGTCACAGAGGCCATTACAGCCCCTCCCAAAGTGCACAGGTAGAGGAGGTGACTGACTACAGGCCTCAGATCCTAGAGATTTACATACTAATGAAGGCCAAAGGGCAGAGCCAATTAAACATTCTTCCCCAGACTTTTCTCCTTTCTCCCTCGCTATTTAACTCAGGTCTGCCCTGAGTTTTAGGGGGGGAACATCCAGATCCATCTATCATCCGCCATGAAAATAAACCCTTTGGAACGAAGGACTTTCTCGTGTCATTGTGGTCTGCCATCGCCAAAGCTGCCAGCCTTTGGAACTCCAGACCTTTCTCCTGTTTGTGGGACCCGGAGTATGGAAAGCCTCAGGACTCCTCCACTGCGGCTTATTTTCCCACACCTGGACACATATGACCTAGCCAAGCTGAATCAAGTCCACTGAAACTGACCTGTACCAAACAGTGACAACACTGAATTGGTAATAAAAGTCCCTATGAAGAAAGATTTTGATTCAATGGATTCATCACTTAATCTTACCAAACTTTTGAATAAGAACTTCTATCAATGGTTCTCAAGCCATGCTGCATAACTTAAAACAAAGGTTCTGTGCATGCTACCTTAGTACCAAAACTTGGTAGCAATACAAAATGAAATCTAGTAATTCATGTTCTTGGTGAACACAGACTGAAAAAGACTTAAAATAATCATAATTGAAGGTAACAGTGTTAGTGAAACCTCACGTAACACAGTCAAGTTAACCAATTTCACTATAGGGACTTCAGCATTGTATGACATACTAAAGTCAGTTAAATATATTGTAATTACATAAATAGAATAAGTGATTAAAATCATATGATCATTTTAATAGATGAAGAAATAGCATTTGATAACTTTCAACATTCCTTCAGGATAAAAACCCTCAAGAGGTTAGAAATATAAAGACCACAACACAATAAAGACCTGTGCATATCAATTCACAGTCAAAATATTGGAGGGAAAAATAGCCTTTTCTATTAAACCTAGAAAGACAATAGCTAATCAATTCTTACTGTCCTCCTTCTATAGAGTACTAGGGTATAGAGATAATCTTTTGTGCACTATGTAAAAACAACACCTGTCAATAAAATACTAATGGCTTATTAGCAAAGGAAGAAAGTAGAAGGTGGAAGTTCCAGTACAGAGATAGCAACTCTGGGGAAGTTAGGCATGGGAAGACTCACCACCTGGACTCGGAGGAAGTCAGATGTATGAAACCTAGGAGAGGTAACCTGCCATGTGGCAGACATAGACTAGTATAAATGAGTTATATAAGTTAAGAGGTAGCTAAGGAGCAAGCCTAGCTTAAGGCCATAAGCATTTTAAATAAAAATATATCTTGATGTCCTTATTAAGAAGCTCAGCCTGGCTTAGAAAAGGCTCAAACAGTCACACTTAAGACTAGCCAGAGCAAGTAGGCACTACAATGGAATAGAAGGCACACCAATAGGAAAGTCTCAATTATTCCCATAAGTAGGCAGGATGACGATTCTATATACAAATGCACGTAAGGGTTCCACCAAAGATTTTAGAACTGGCAAATGAATTCAGTTAAGTAGCACATACAAAAATAAACACATGAAATTAGTAGCTTTCCTAATAAATACAGTTAACCCTATTCTCAATAGCCACACAAAAAATAAACTACCTAATAAACCCTATTTGGAAATGAAAGCCCTCTATAATGCAAAGCAAAAGTCACTGATGAGAGAAAGAAAATGACAAGGAAGAAAAAAAAAGAAGGAAAAAAGAAAGAAAGAAAGAAAGAAAGAAAGAAAGAAAGAAAGAAAGAAAGGAAGGAAGGAAGGAAGGAAGGAAGGAAGGAAGGAAGGAAGGAAGGAAGGAAGGAAGGAAGGAAAGAAAATGAGCTAGCTAGCTCCCTATGTTCTTATCTGGAAGTCCCAATACTGTTACAGTGACCATATCGCTAAAAGCAATCCACAGTGCAATATCCAAACAACTAATAATGTTCTTTATAGAATTTGAAAGCAAAATCCTTATAAAGAAGCACAAAAAAAAAAAAAAGACAACCAAAGCACAGGAAACAAAAGCAAAAAGACACTTAAATGACTGTAAGTAAAGTGAGATTAGACATAAGGCTGAAGTACTTCTACACTTCAAAGGGAACACTCAGAGAGATAGCATGCAAGACAGGAAAAATGTCAGAGTTAATATCCAGAATATAAAGAACAAAAAAGTGAGTCAATTAAAAATGGGCAAATGATCTGATTAAACACACCTCAAAAGAAGTAGAAATAGCCAATAAACACATGGGAGAAATGCTCACATTCCAGCCACAAGGGAAATTCAAATCACAATTTCAATGATATACCTGCAATGGCTAAGCCCTCTCAAAGCTTGACAGGGTTTAGAATTACCTAATAGACTATGGCTCACTACTGGGTGTGTCTATGAGACAGTATCCAAAGAGGATTAACAGAGCTGTGAATGAAGCAAGGCTGAGGCTCAGTGAGAATAAGAGAAAAGTAGAAATTGAGTCAGGCACCAGTATTCCTTTCTGTTTCCTGGCCCAGCAGGATGAAAACTTCTGTACTCTGTGCCTGCTTGCCAAGTAAAGCAGAGCCAAACAAAACCTTTCCTCCTTCAAGCCTCTTCTGTCAAGTATTTTGTTATAGCAACAAGAAAATGACTCAATATTCCACCTAAATGTGAAACAACCACAGAAATTACATGTTAAGAAGATGTGAAAGAAAAGAAGTCATACAAGCTCCTCCTGTGAATGTAAATCAGCAGACATTATAGGAATTAATAAAAAGGCAGTGCTGCCATTTGACCATAACAATCCAAGAGAAGTAAAATCAACACTGAGCAGAAGTGCCTGTGCGCCCGCTCATGTTTACACAGCACTACTCATACACACCTGTCAGAAGATGCCTGGAGAACTAGAGTTTACGTACACAGTGCAATACGGGGGAATAAACATATCCACCCAGAAGAATGAATTCCTGTGATCTCCAGTAATGAGGAGAGGCTGAAGTGTATCATGTGAAACAAGCAGGCACTGAGGTTCACAGAGAAAAAAAATATGTAAAGAAAGAAAAAAAGTGATGTACATACCATTAACTTTTGCCCTGGTTCAGGGCAGAAAATAACAAAATCTGCTTCAATGTTAAGATGAATGTGTCCTTGATCATCATAAATATCTCCCAGTTCACCTACAACTCTGATGTTATCATATGCAATTGGGACACCTAAAAGGCTGTTAAAGGGGGAAAAAAGATACTGTTAATTCTAGTTAGAGATAATCTGCTGTTACCTCTGATATACCACTCTTTCCCAAACATGTCATCACCTAGTCTAGAGACTAACACTAGCAGATCTTAGCAACTACAGTTTACCAAAAAATTCCAATGTCTTAGTTAAGTTAAAGTGGCCATCAGCATGGATATTCAGAACTATGCACTGGCAATAAACTAACACTTAGATGCTACCTATCTGAATCAGTCATACTAGGGGAGATACTGTATGACTGAATACAGGCAATTGTGACACTATCTACTATTACTGAGTTTCTATGTGGGATACTATATAATAAGGGAAGCATTGCTGTTTAAGCTACAGCCTCTGATCACTGGAACCAATGACTTAATACAGAAAAGTAACAAACTAACACTTTTTCTAGTGAAAAGAAATGTCAATGTACACAACCATATTGTTTGAGAACTTACTAACACTTAAAGTAGACACATTTCAAGTCAAGAAGAAGGCTATGATTATTTTAAAAGGCCAGTTACCTAAGAAAGACATATGAGCTTTATTATTTCTCCCATACCAAATACTTCCTGAAGGAAATTTCCCTGACTCTTCCACCAAAAAAAAAAAGAAAGAAAAATTTACTTCTTTACCACATGTAACAATGTATTACTATTTGTAACCTAATTTTATTGAATCCATCTGTATATATGTTTAGATTCAAAACACAGCTCTAAGACCAGACAGCAGAAATTGTTTTATTGCCCTCAATTAAATTTCTAGTACAATCCAACAAAGAGGATTTCTCTTACTATACTCTATAGATTTTGAGTGAAACAGCCACAACCCATAAGAAAGAAATTTTAATAGCTACCAAATTAGGAAAACATAAACTCAGAAGTCTTCCAAGGAGAGTACCCTTGAATTTTTAGCTTCTACACATGGCTTACTTAAGCAGGAGTGATACATCACTAAGACAAAATGAAGGACATTGAAAACAGAACAAAAGGAAAAACAGGAAGTATCCATCACACTGGTAAGTGAAAAAGTCTCTGTTTCTACTAAAAACCTCCTCTCAATATAATACTTTTCTTTTTTTTTTTTGGGGGGGGGGTTTCGAGACAGGGTTTCTCTGTGTAGCCCTGGCTGTACTGGAACTCACTCTGTAGACCAGGCTGGCCTCGAACTCAGAAATCCGTCTGCCTCTCCCTCCCAAGTGCTGGGATTAAAGGCGTGTGCCACCACTGCCCGGCTAATATAATACTTAAAAGAATCTAGTCAGGAGAGATTACTTTTCCCTAAATGGTTCTTGGAAACACATGGCATTGTTTGGGTTTAATCACAGACACTGCAAAAGCCAGAAAAGAACTCTCCTATGTACAGAATAGTTCTGTACATGTGCAAGCAGTCTCTATGCATGATTCTCAAATAAGGGACAAACTTGTTTATAAGTTGTTGGGATTAGAATTTACACTTAAAATAAGCATATCAACATAAATTCATTTGTCAACTTTATATACTAAGATACTAAAAAACTGCTGGAAACAGAGTAATACTTGAATGCCAGAAAGACTGCTTTTTGGCACTTTACCAGGAGTAACTATTTCATAAAAGCAGTGGTAGCTGTAGATGTGGTGTATATTATCTAAGCTATAAATGCAAAATGTCTGGATCAATCCATATTTGTGACTGTAACACTTATGCAACGATTCTTATGTGAAAGTGCAGAAGCATGTAACTTCTTAGTTTTCCAGACCATAATGTTAAAATGTCATATACTGAAACAGTTTATAAGGTTGGAACACCATGTAAAATTTTTAATTATATAGATAGGTTGTGTTAATCTTTGAATTTCATTTCAGTATATTTTTATAACAATAAAGAGAACATTACAAAAGATTGCTTCTAAGGGGATACCAGGTCCCACAGGATTCAACACCTCTAAGGACTGTTATGACCACTGAGTGCAAGGCTAAATGAATTTGTGTAAACCCATAAGACCTTTGGGAAACTATTTAGAGTAACTTAACAAAAGTTATATATTCAAAGACAGATATCCTAACACTAAATATCTTCTTCTCTTTATTTAAAATATATATGCATATATCTCAATACATATACCATATGAGATCCACATGGTAACTTCACCTAGGATATGTAGGAGGCAACTAAATCAATCAAGTTTAAGGTATGTTTAGTTTTAGTATTTAAGTCTTCTTTGGGACTTGTAAGAGAGAATGCATTTAACATCTTTAAATAACCCAAGGGTGCCAAGTGGAAAAGAATATGTTTTGTTTTGCCCCACAAATGGCAACTTAGAAGTTACAATGTGATTTCAGAAAACTACTTACTTTCTCTAAGAGAACAGTTCAAAGTTGAAATGGGATACATTTTATAAAATAAAATCCTGCCACAGAGAAAGAAAAGCAACAGTCTGCCTATTGGGAAATGCTGTGGAGAAGACTTAAGCATTAACATGGAAGTCTCAATATTATTATTATTTAAACAAAAAAAGACAGACCTACTGATGCTACAGGATTGCCCACAAGTCTAAAAACATATACTATACAGGATAAATGGTATACGTAATACAGGACAATTAATATTACAATTCCCAATATTTTCAATGTTTTATCCCTTGATTTATTATTACTCTTAACTAATACTCGAGTAACACTGGACCCTAATCTGCACTGAAATAAAACATAGGCTTCTTTTAATATAGTTTTAGCATAGTAACAAGGAGGGGAGGTGTCCAGATCAATCAAGCAGTATATTCTATTCTACATGGCTGCATTATCCAATTCTGTTACCGAAATTATCAGTTTCTCATCTGTAATAATAGATCCTATTACACATCCTTAAATAATTTTCCCCCAATGGATGAAAAGCTGGCTAACATAACTGCCTATGTTTCATGCTTAGTGATCACCTTGTACATTCTTACATCCTTCAACCCCTCTCATCATTTTCCTTACAAGAATTGTTAATTGATACCTTTGCCTACTGCTCAACCTATTTAAAATATCTCATTCAAATTTGTTTCTTAAATTGCAGATGTGACCATGTCCCAGGGACTGCAAATATGTACTACTCCTCTCAAGAGAGTTTCAAGTCTCAATTGAAAGCCAATAAATGGATAAAGTAACAACTGTGCTTTAAGAATCAAAAACTTGGAACTACAGATAGTTCAGTGGTTAAGAGCACTTGCTGCCCCTGCAAAGGGCCCAGATTCCATTCCCAACACACACTTGGTGGTTCACAATCATCCATAATTCTGACTTCTAAGGATCTGATACCCTCTTCTGAGGGTACCAGGCATGCACTTGGTACACATACACACATGTAAGCAAAACATAAATAAATAAACCTAATACAAAAACAAAAACAGGAAGAGGAGGAGGAAAAGGAGGAAGAGGAAGGGAAGGAAGAAGAAGAAAAGAAATAAACAGATAAAGGCAGAAAGGGAGGAATGTAATGGCCGTCTTGTTAGTTCCCTCCTGGTCTTTGACACTCTACTAAGAAATCCTATTCCTGACATGTGTTTCCCCTGACTTAAACCTCACTGCAGTTATACAGTATTTACAGGCCTCTGGTCCCAGCATTCTAGCTTACATTACTACCCATCTGTTTATAGTACTCAGTGGCTAGAACGCTATCATCTCAATACCAGCCCACTGTGTTGTCCTCAAAAGTTACAAAGTCGAATTTCACCTTTCTTACTATAGCTTGTCAAGTTTTAACACTTCACTGGATTTGGCTTACATTTGTATCCCCACAGTACCTCAAAGCTCCTTGAAAGTAGGATCTCTTATCTTTCTATTCCCAATTCCCTAAGACAGAATAAAGACGTAGAACTACTTAATAGTGTTTGGAGGATGCTGTTATCATTCTGAGCAGGCTAGATGGTTAATGAGACTGATTGTGTCCAAATCCTTGTGAGTGGTAACAGCTTCGGATAATTTGCCCAAGAACAGTCACGTGGGAAATCCCAGCAATTTCTGAAGTGTCACAGAATTACTGAAGACATCAATGATGTCTCAGGTATCTATAAACCATAGTCTCGGAACCGCACCCCACTTCGCACAAAATGAGTTGTGGAGTATTAAGGCATATCACTTCCCATTGAAATTCTGAGATTCTTTTCCCCAAGTTACTCTTGAATACCTTAATATAAATGCATTAGTTTGTGGGGAGCGGAGGGAGGGAGAGCTCTATGTTTCTACAAACGAAACAAGGCTCATCACCCATCCCCAGTTAAGCCCCCCCCGGGGGGGGGGAGGCAAAGAAATTACTCGAAACAAGCAAACCTGTCTATGTTTTGCAATGACTCGATTTATCCATGTTTATATGCCGTTTCCCACGTTAGGAGAATCCAAAACTGATAGCAAAATTTCATTGAGAACACACCCGGAAGTGACTAAATGAAACTTTTAATACCCAAACAAAGCTCAGCCTAGTGGGTTCCCTGACACCGGGCCCTACTAAGCTCCATACGGGGAGTGCTTTTAGCATTGCTGCAGCCGCCACTTCACCAGCCAGTTTCATCCCCAGGAGCTAGGCCACTGCATTCAGGCCAGCGGCGCAGAAGGCGACGGTTGACGCTGGGGCTAAGGTTCGTGAAGCTCCTGCGATTTTACTTCTGTGGCGCCAAGGGGTTATGGAGCCAAGGCCCATCTACAAACTGAGAAGGGGCGGCAGGCAACGTCGGAGCTGCCGGCTCCCAGAAGGAGATGGAGAGAGCTTACCTCTCGGAGTAGCGCAGAAGCTCAGCGTCCAGCTGCTCGCGGATGCCCGTGCGCTTCCTGCTCAGGTAGCGGGGCGACAGGGCGATGTGCCTGCGGTGCGGGGCGGCCACCAAGCAGGAATAGCGGCTGCTCACCAGCGCACACGCCGCGGCGTAGCTCGGCAGCTCCAGGCAAGGCAGCACCCCGGCCTGACCCGCCACGGGCCTCTCGGAGGCCGCCTTGGGCCGCTGAGACTCCACAGAGCCCGCAGCCATGCGGCTTGTCAGGCTGCTTCGGGGTGCGCACGGATGACGAAAGCATCCCTGCCTCGCCTCCGACGCCTGGCTGCGTCATCAGCAAGCGACCGAACGCCGGCCTCGGAATTTTAATCTCCTAAAGCTACGTTATGGAGGTATGACCAGCAGAGGGCGGCTGCTCTTTCCCAAGTCCAGATAAAACGCTGAGTGTGAAATCCAGGGGCACTCTGATTTATATAGGCAGATATCGATCGTTAGTTCATCACTGCAAAGTATGCTCAGTTAGAGAGCGAAGCTTGGATTTATTGATCTGGGCACTTAAGCCTAAAAAAGACAGAGGCCCGAAATAGTTTGATTTTTTTTTTAAAGCTCCTTAGTTGATTTCAATGCTGGGCCAAGGCCTAGTGAACTAATGGTTTCATTTATTTGTTTTGGTTTTCTGTTTTTGTTCTGTTGTTAGACAGTGTATCTCCGTGTAGCCTTGGGTGGCTTGAAACTATGTAGACCAAGCTGATTTAGTTCTAACACTTAGATATTTGCCTGCCTCTGCCGCAAGAGAGCTGGGATTAAAAGCATGTGTCACTACTCCCAGCTGAGTATTTTCTTTATTGGATTTAGCATGGCTATTAATAGGTGTGCCGGTTCCAGTTGCATCGAGGCCTGATACATTTTTATGAGCTTGAGCTTTTCAATAAGGAATCAGAAACATTAGTGGAGTAGATTTACAATAGTGAACCCAGTCCTACAGGGCAGGCCATAACTCCCAAAGGCAACATCTGAGCTGGTACCACCATATCTCTCCAATCTAGCTTCCCTCTGCCTTCCGCTATATCACCGTGAGGGTGTTGTGACATGTTCTTCAAATGGCTAAGCCCAGCTACCAGCTTTGGCCTTCTTTTGTATACCCAGACACCAATCATATCAGCAGGAGGGCTTGTATTACACAAAGAAAAAAACAAACCTTCATTTAGACAGTGCTGTCTTAACAACCCCAAACTATTCCTCTAGCTCTTACAACCCTTCACCTTCTTCATAATGATCTTAAGCTGTGGGTGCAGAAATTGTACACATCTTGGTCTGCAAAATGTTGGCTAAAAAAGCCCAGCTTCAGAAAAGACTACGTACTTTGGCTACCAGATGAAAGGAGGCAAAAGGAGCCTATCCCAAAGTGGGATTATTGCCATCCTTCAGATTCCAACTCCAAAGACTAAGAGACAGGTCAGAGAGTTCCTAGGTACGGGAGTGGGGGTGGAGTGGGGGGGGAAGACTTTTGATTTTCTGATGACATACCATGACACCGTGCTGCCTAAGACTCCATGATAAAGAAGAAATGGACAGCTTACAGCCAGTGGTTGATGGAGGATACCAGAGGGAATGGTCATTCTCCCAGAAACAACTGGCGGGACTGTTGGTAAGTAACCTTCACCAGGCTACTCATCTGGGATCTATAAAGCATTCTGAGCTGCTCAAACCAAGATATGTTATGCCTAGCACAGGATGTCTCAGCCAGATGCTACTTTGTGCCCAAGTGAATCCAAAATAGAGAACTCTTACCCAGGAAGGGGTCCACACAAGAGACCAGCACCCCCACAAACTCTGGGAAAACTGATTTCACCAAGATCCAGCCTGCTGGGAGAGGATAAAAGGATTGCTAGGTACCTTTTCCAGTAGAACCGTTCCTCACCCAAACTGAAACTACTCAAGTAGTAGCTAGAAAGCTCCTCCAAAAACTGGTTCCCTGATTTAGCCTCACCCTAGAAATGAGGTCTGTCAATGGCCTGGATTACATAGCCAAAACCTCTCAATTAAAATCGAAAGCTTTAGACATAGATTGAAAACTTCATTCTGCATATAGACCTCAGAGTTCTGGCCAAGTAAAAAGAATAAGCAGGACATTAAAAGAAACTTTAGTAAAATTCTCTCAACAGAGACCAGCAATGGATGGATAGGTCTTCTTTCTTTGCTTTGCATCAGTCTGCTGCACCCTATAGAAAGAGGCATTTACACATACATCCATGAGATTATGTTTGTAAGAACTTCCCCACTGCTTCCCAGGGTCAAAGACCAGAAGTTGGGAAGAATTTCTGCATATATTGTATCCTCATAGGATGAAGACATAAATATTTCTTACCCACATGGGGAGAGAACTGAATATCATGTATCTTCTTGGAAAACAATCCTGGATAGCATGAACCCAGTTGGGAAAATCCTGGATATTATGAACCCACATGGAAAAAGTCCCAGATATCATATTCCCACATGAGAAGCAAATTAGAATATCATGAACATGCTTGGGGAAACCGCTCTGGATACGTGGTACAAGCAAAAAGTGCTTATTATCTTGTTAACTTGTACCCATGTGGGAAGAAGTCTTGCATATTATATACCTGCATGAGATGTCCTGGATTTTATTATTCTTGTATGAGAAGTACTTACATAGAAGTATTACATGAAGTACTACATAGTATTACATGAAGTATTACATAGAAGTACTTACATAAGAAGTATTTACATAGAAAGAAATACTGGATTGGACATCATGTGCACACATATGAAGAAGTCCTGAATGTTACTTAGCATCATGGGAAGCAATTTTGGATATAATTTACTAGCATGGAAAAAAACTGGCAATCATATACCCCCATGAGGCTAAGTCCAAGGCATCATATACCCACATAAAAAATAGGATTTTTCTATATGGTACCATCATAGGATGAAGTCCTCAATAATTTGTTCTTACATTGGAAGAAGTAAGTCATTGATATCGTATCAATGATATCAACATCCTTGGAAACTATCTCTGATATCAAGTACCCACACTTCTTTCCAGAAGTCTTGGGTATTATGTAGTCACCCAGAAAGTAGTCGTGGATATCATGTACATGGATTGCAATGAACCATGGATATCATGTACTTGCACTGATAGAAGTCCTGGATATCATATATCTGTGTGGAAAGCAGTCCAGGATATCATATACCAGCATGAGTAAGAATCTTATATATCATGTACCCAAATAGGAAAGTCTTCCATATCATGTACTTGTATTTTAAATAGTGCAGGATAATTTAGTAACCCCATAGGAATCGGTCCTGTGTATCATGTAATCACATGAGAAGCAGTCCAGTGTATCATGTACCAGCATGAGAAGAATTATTGTATATGATGTACTTGCATGGGAAGATATTCTGTATATCACATACCCACAAGAACAGCACTTTTACATATCATGTACACTAGTGGTTAACAGTCCTAGATATCATATACCTGCGACTATAGGAGGCCTGTACCCACATGGGATGAAGCCCTAGATGTTATGTACTGGAGTAGGAAGCTGTTGAGGATATCATATAACCACATAGGAAACAGTCCACTTTATCATATATTTTCAAGAAATTCAGACCAGGAGATGTTGTACTCACATGAGAAGAAGCACGGTATATCAAATACCAGAATGTGAGGAATTCACATTCCAATCCAAAACCAGCATGGGAAGAAGTTCTGAGTATTGGTACCCACATGGGAGGAAATATTGGATATAATAAACTAGCAGGGAAAGAAATTCCTTTTTTGGAGTACTCACATAGGAGAAAGTTCTAGATATCTTATTCTTACACAGGAAGAATTCAAGGGTATTATGTACATGCTTGTGATGAATTCCTGAGTATCATGTAGCCACCTGAGAAGCATATCCTGTACCTGCATGGAAAGCTACCCTGGATAGCATGTACCTATATGGTACATATGATGTACCAATATGAGAAGGAATTCCAGATAGCAGGTACCTATATGGTTTGCAATTTGGATACAAGATGGATATTGTATACCAGCATGAGAAGAAATCCTGAATATGAGGTTCCTGCATGGGAGGAAGTCACGGAGGTCACATATTGGCATCGGAAGCAGCCCTGTATGCCATGTGCCTCATGGGAAGCAGTCATATTTATCAAGTACCTTCATGGAAGGAAGTCCTGCATATTCTGTATTCATGTAGGAAGAAATCATTGATGTCATGTACTTGTATGGGAAACAATTTAGAATATAAGATATCCCTATGGGAAGAAATACTGGATAATCAGTACCTCCATGGGATGAAGTCCTGATGAAAAAAAAAAAACTGGATACCATGTACCATCACGTTAATCAATCCTGGATATCATGCACCCACATTGGAAGCAGTCCTACAAATATTGTACACTCACCAGAAGAAGACCTGCATAACATGTGACCATATTTGAAGAAGTCTTCTTTTCCATGTCCAGCTTGTGAAGCAGTCCTGAGGACCAGGCACCCATATGAGAACCAATTAAAAACTTATGTACTTGTATTGGGAAGCAGAACTGAGTACATGGGATATAGACCTGGATATCTACATTAGAAAAAGCAGGCTATTGCCTATCTTCATGAGGAGAATTCCCAGATATCATGTGCCCACGTGTGAAGGTATCCCACATATGTTGTACCTGTATGGAATGCATTCCTGGATATCATGTTCTCACATGGGATTAAGTACATGAATTTTGGTAACATCATGTAACAAGGTCCTGGATAATTTTTAGCTGCATGAAAAAAGTTGGATATGATGTACCAGCATGATAAGAATTCCTGGATATCATGTACATGACAGGAAAACAATTAAGGTTCATAAAATCCAGGACTTCATACCATTTGTGTACATGATGTGCAAGAATCCTTCCCATGTAGATATGTGATATGCATGAAAGGTTTACATTCAGGTACATGATATAACAATGTTTCTCATGTGGGTATATGATCTACAGGACTGCTACCTATATAGATGTGGGATATCCATGACTCCATTCCATGCTGCTGCAATATATCCTGGACTTCTTCCCATGTAGATACATGATACAATAGACTTGATTCCTAGTGGGTAAATAATAAACATAATTTTCCACATGAAGGAACAAGATATCAATACTTTGTCTCATGCAGGTACCCCATATTTAAGACTGCTGTGTGAGTTAATATTTCCAGATCTGTTTCCTCTGCAGGTACA